AAACTTGTCTACAACCGTTATTATACATTAAATGACTGGAATAACAACACACATAGCACAGGCAATCGCCCGGGACTACATCACTTGCAAATAGCACCACACTTGAGTACGGAGACACGTATAAAAATACCAAAACCAGAGCTTTGGTCCTCTAATATAATTAATTAACAATAAAATAAGCCCTGTTTTTAATAATACTTAAGATCTGTGCGTGTTCTGCGACATCGCCACAATTACCTAGTAAGAAGTAGTAATAGTAATAGTATGCAGCAGTAGTAATAGTTTTCATTATCCTCCTCCTAGCCTTCTTCTTTTAATAATGAGCATCGACCATCGACTTTTATTAATAAATTGCACCTAGTAGAGACATCATTTCAATTTGAACAGCCACATTATAATGGCTGCCAAAGCAATTCCGAAGACGAGCATAAAAACGGAACCAAGTAACACCATCTGCTGTTCGGACATTGTTTTAGTGTTAAAAAGGTGGGGCCAAACCAATTTCATGTAATTGCGGCTGCGCGAACTGTGCGCCGGCGCGTTAGCGTTAACAGAGAGCTTAGGAATGAGAGAAGGTTCTGCCGCAGGGGTTGAAAACGTTATCGGAGAGGAGTAAGGTCCTTGGAGTTCTCCACTGGATGTCAGTCGAATTGAACACACTCTTGCACAATACTCTGCACCCGCCTCAAGATTGTCGATAGTACATTTAGTCTCTGACCCTTTATACACCTGCAGATAAACAAATTTATTCAATTTTAACGTCTATTTTAGACAAAGACAGAAACATCAGACGTCCCTTATATGGAATCCCAAAACACAAATGATAATATTATATTTTAAGTTACGTACCTGTTTGTAGTCCTGATCTCTGAGACGGGTGACTTGAATGGAATAAATGACAGAGTCGGAAGTGTTATTTTTCGAAGGAACCCACTCCAAGCAGCAATTCTTTTGATCCACATCGATCACTTTCAATCCCTTGACGGCGGCAGGAGGAGCTATACTGGTGGTAAATAGGTATTCTTCGGAAAAGTCCCCTTGTCCGGCATCGTTCGAAGCATTGACCCTAAATCGATAAGTAGTTAGTTCTTGCAATTTGTTCACTTTGCACGTGAAAGCAGTGCCCTGGTAAACACATTGAAACTCCTTTGTCCTACTGTTCTCCATTTCAACGCAGTACTGCGTGAAGTTGTGATTTTTACCCTCACCCCATTTCAGCTTCAAATAGTTATGCCCAGTTCCTATACATTCTAGTTTAGGAGCCGCTGGAGGAAGAGGGGCTGTTGTTACTCTAAGGGACGAAGATAAAGATCCTACGCCTACCCCGTTTACTGCTTGGACTTTGATCTTGTACAAGGTATCGGGTTGAAGAGATTTAAGGGTATATTTGAGAACCGGTCCGTCAGTACTAATAACTTGGTCGCTTATTTCAATATTATAATGTGTTATCGGGGAACCGTTAGAATTGGGTTCCTGCCACTGCACTGTTATCGTCATTGGGGTTCTGTCAGTACAGTAAGGTGTCACCGTGGATGGAGGTGCTGCTGGGGTTATGGTGGCAGAAACTGGGGAAAATTCCCCGCATCCCGCAGCATTGCAAGCCTGTACCCGGAAGAAGTAAGGAGTGAACGGAGTAAGACCTTTGACGTCATGGTTCGTATTAGGCCCTTGGAAAATTGGATGGAAGTGGTCTTTGGAATCGTTATGGCTCAGTTCTAAACGGTACTCGGTTATTGGCGCGCCATTATGGTGTGGCTCTTGCCACTCGACGAACACGTGGAATGGTGATTTTGAAACGACCAAAGGAGCTCCGGGAGCATCGGGTGGAGCGGCACCACTCGTTACCGTTAATGGTTCAGACCACGGTCCTGTTCCTATCCTATTCACAGCTCTCACTATCAACGTGTAAGTGCATCCGGGACTCAGGCCCGACACCGTACATTCCGTTTCTTTGCTTTTATGCATTATATTTCTGCTAGAATCAGGACCGACCATTTCTATTTCGTATTCTAAAACGGGTGCTCCGCCATTATAATCGGGCTCCAACCATCTCACAGTTACGCTGTTCGTTTTCGGTTTTCCGTGAAGTTTTAACGCGGAGCACTTTCCAGGACTGATGGCATCTGTTGTAACGGTACAGGGATCGGAGTAGTTACTGCGGCCTCCCGAACTTATGCACGACACCCTCAGCTGGTAGGTGGTGCCGGGGGTCAATTTATCACAGATCGCTTCCGTGTCGCAGCCGGAATAAACCGTCTGATATCCGCTCCCGGAGTTAAGTTCCAGAACGTACCTGGTGATCTCGGCGCCACCGGTGTCACTCGGCGGCTCCCACTTTAACCTAAACGAATGGGCGTGAATTCTTCCCTTGACCACTGGCTTCGAAGGCCTAGCAGGCCTGTCGGGAAGCGTTCTGAACATCACCTCTTCCGACCATGGACTCGGACCACCGTCATTTTGTGATTTTAATCGGAACTTGTAATCTGCAAAACGTTTGAGATTTTCACAAGTGTACTCCGAGTCTCGACCGTTGTAGACGGTCAAGTAACCGTAGCGACTTTTCGGGTCGTCCATCTGCAGGACAAATTCATCATCCTTGGGGCGACGTTGCCAGAACAAATGAAGCGAATTGATCGTTGCTTCTTTCAGGGATGGTGGCATCGGTTGCGTTGGAGGATTATCTGATGTTGCGTAAGTTACCACATCCGAGTACATGCTCTTCCCTATGTCGTTTATGGCGGCCAATCTAAATTTATAAACGGTAGCCGACTGCAGTTTCGACAGCGTGTGATGTTTACCTTTACTTTTATGCAATTCGATAAAATCCCCGCCTTTACCGTCGTCATACTCTAGGATATAGTACAAAATATGAGAGCCGTTATCGCTGACTGCGTTCCACCGCAACTGAAGACTGTTTTTCGATTTCGATATAAGTTTCGGTGGCTGGGGTTGATCTGGTTCGCAGGAAGGAGTGGTGAATTTAACGGGATCAGACGCTGTACCCTGTAACTCGTCCAGATGCACCTGGAGACAAACGGAATACTCCTGACCGGGTCGTAAGTCTTGAATGCGACACGAGAGAGATGCTCCACTATAAATTGACTTATATTTCATTTCTTTGCTTTTATCACTAAGTAATACTTCGTAGCGAAGGTCAGACTCCGATATTTCCAGTTCGTGGCCGTCGTTACTCGCTGTCTCTGACAATCGAGGAGGCACGGCCCATTGCAATAAGGCACTGCGGGAATTTAGGTCGGAAACCTGTAAGCAACAAAACATAAATATATACATTAAAGTCCAATATTAATTTGAAATCATTTTTTCGATATTTTATTTACCCACCACAAACTACCTCAAATTAATGAGGGAAAAATTGTGGCTGTTGTCACACCCCCACCGGGAATCGAACCCGGGACCTTTGGCGACGGATCGTTAACCTTGTAGGTCGGTTGGTCGTGATTGCTGTTGTCACCTCTCGTAGTTTAGTGGTAGAACATTGGTGCGTAAAGCCAAAGGTCCGGGGTTCGATTCCCGGTGGGGGTATGACAACAACAACAATTTTTCCCTCATTAATTTGAAATAGTTTGTAGTGGGTAAACAAAATATCGAAAAAATGATTTCAAATTAATATTGCATATTAATCCACTATTAAATAACTAACAATGTCATAGGATTTCATATATTTACTACCAATATTGTTTAAAATTAAACTATTAATACTCGATGAAAGTCATCTTGAAGAGTAATATAGTTAGGATCTACTACTATGTTAAAAATTTTGAATTTATACCAATCAGATCCCAAGAAAAGACCTGGTAATTGTTTTTGATTAAGGATCTGCGCTTTCCACAGATCACTATGTCAAAAAAATACATAGGAAAAGCATGACCATGACAACAATCACTTCGTCCTTGTTGTCCTTTTGTACCGTAAACCTATGATCCTAATTTAAACGGTTGGTTACAATAAAAAAACAAGTGTTGTGTATCCTTCGAGATCTTTACCTGTAGTTTTTTCTTAAAAACAGACGTTTCTTCAGTATCAGTAATTGTTCTTATACATACGTAGGAATAAGTCAATTTTTTTTAGTTTTAGCTCCGGCTTTGTCCAAATCTGTTTCTGTTCGAACTCTTAAGGAAACACCCAGAAGTAAATACTTCTACGTCTAATGAGGGAAATATTGTAAAGAACCACGTAGTATTTTCTAAAATAGACATCCCACTCATTCTGTTATTTCAAGCTANCGAACGCGGAGGCCGATTGTGCCTCTTTGTCGCTCGTTCCGCGCTCTCGCTTGCACTTCAAGCCTTAAATGGAACGCCTCAGAGCGGGGTAACGCCGCATGAGTCATGTGTGCAGCCGGCTCTACCGAATTATAAGACGTTGTCACGTCAAAAATTACACTGAGTAGCATGTATCTTCCCTATGATTATATGGAAAACTGCGTTCTCCGAAAATACACCGATCAAACGTTGTTTAAACAAAACAAAAGTTTTTACAAATTTGAGGAGTTTCAATCTTATGACCCGTTTTCGTAAAGATGAGTTTTCAATTAATATAAACAATTAGCAATGAGGAATTTTTATCTTGAAGTTCAAGACATATTTCGAACACCATAAACATAATTGCTAATAGTAACTATTTAACGTTTTTTAGCTTTGTAAATATAAAACAAATTAGTTTTTGAAATATTTTCCAGAATCATTTGGATAAATTTTTAAACGACAATTAGAAAGCAATTAGGCGGATATTAACCATTATTTAAATTCTGAATAATGCCAAGTCTGATAGGCCCATAATAAATTATCATAATCCAAGTCTGTATCTACTATGTATCAAAATAATTATTAATGGTGAGGATTTACTGATAAAAGTTCTTGTCTGTAGGATTTACATTTCAACACATTTTTGTTAGCTTGTACTAATAAAAAAGAAAATGCTTTCGCCAGATAAATGATTACATATGTTTCGTTTGTAAAACGATACTGCCAAGATTATAAATGGCACGTTTAATAACAAAACTTACCTTATCAGTATCAGTTTCTCTATTTTCATTTTTAGTGCCTTTCATTTCAATATTAAATAATAACAACGACCCGCAGAAAATTTAAAATGCATTTCCAACACAAACATGTACCATATTGGTACTAGAAGTTACAGGAAAGTATGTTCTAATAAATCAGCAGCAATATTGTTACCGACTAACTGCACTTTCACGTGACCTACTGATAGACTCTAGCAAATACCTTTTATATCCGTATATAATATATGTGTATATACATATATTCGATGAAGTAAGAATGCGATAAGAGTTCACATTTACTGTGGGTTTCTATGTGAGCATGTTTATCAATGACGTCACAAACATGTATATATGTATGTAGCTTTTGTTTTTGCGTATTCAATACAACAATACGCAATAAATGATAAGGATAAGTGTGATTGTTACCGGAACTGTATAATTGATAAAAACCAATTAAAATAGTTTACGTAATTGATAAGGTAAGGCCTAGAAAACGAAACATATCAATGTATGTCAATTCGTGAAGATTGTGAGACCGTCGATTTGAAGGTATAGTGGAATTCATTTATTATGACTCCGTTTATATTGATCAACCGTTTAATATGAAGCAATTGCAGTGTTATGTTTGGTTATCATATTAAATTCTCTATAGGAAAGTTTGGATATAACGACTCCGTTTAAAATGACATACCTTAAGAAATCATATCCGGCTATAGTGACCCAAATGATTAATAATAACGTTTTCGCTCATTTTTCTGACCCTTCTTATGTATATTGATATCACAATTCATCGTTCTTTTTCTATTTCTGTTAATAAATACCTATACACAATTTGTAGTTTTTCTCTCTATTAAACTAAATAACTAACCAAAATAGAAAGTTGTTTATTTTCTAAGACTACGCTTTGTATGACACGTGCTTGCCATTTCCCTTCGATGTCATTATAAGCGGATTCTACTGCATTAGAAGGATACATGTTCAGTTCTCATTGGCCATTAGTGTAATTTTTATGTATCTCTACAATACTTCCGTGATTGCTTTTTACACAGTAATATGAAGTAATTATTTCAATACCATTCCAATCCGCGATCGTCTAAAGTTGGTCGTATAAAGAAAGAATCGACGACAGATATCTACTAAAGCATATAAAATAAGTACGTGGTCATTGGTGTGATAGTGTTACGGCTATTGTTCACAAAGGAGTCGGTTGCGTTTTGCCAGAATTCATTACTAATTGTTATTCGTGTTCGCTCGATTTGTACCCGGGCCTTAAATGGACAAATGGACGCGGTGCGTCTTCAGTTTTTGCCCGGTCTTCAGGTCGACATGCTGTGGGACCCATGAGCCCGTGTGTCCATCACACACGCATTCCACCAACGTACCGTGGACAATCACAATACAACAATAGGGGAGAACCCGTACACATTTACAGATACGTACATATATAGTCGGCATAATGTGTACGTATGTAGGTATACCAACTGAAGGATAATATTAGGTATTCGAAACTCGCCGGTTTCGGAAAGAATGAAACTTGTAAGTGCCTTGCAAAGGCGTAGAATCTGCGCCAACACGCCATTTAAAAACGTATAAAAATTCATTAACATTTACGATACTGCTGAAAGTACATCAGACACAGACATAAAATAAAATAAAAAACAAAAATTTAATGTATAAACGTCTTGAAATGAAGAAGAGATTGCAACGGCTATTATTAGAGCGATTCGTGATTACAAATTTTTAAAAACTACATAAATCTAAAGGTTTAAAAACTCTGAGAACCTACTGTGTCGTTAATATTCCCATCAACTGATCGGCAATACAAAAAATGAACTTTGTTTAGAGAAAACGGGGATTATGAAAAATGTACAGCAAAAATCTTTTAATGAAACTGAACAAAGTTTCAATGTTGGCTACAATTTAGGTACCATTATGAAGCTTTTTTAACATTGCTTTCAAAAAATGTAAGATAATTTTCAGTAAATCTTCAAAACATTTCAATATTACCACTTATTTACAAATCAACATCCAAAAGAATTTCGTAAAAAGACCTAAAAATTATGAATAGTAACTTAAAGTAATCTCTAACAATTTATTTAGAAACTAATTCTTTAGAAGTGGCAAAACGCAGTGTCACGTCCTGCTTCGAATTTAAAGAAATTACAGTAGAATTTGATTAAAAACATCGGTTTTAAAGACAACTTTGACGTTAAATCAATTTTTAATATTAGTTCTTCAATACTTTTTAAAAAATGTAGTGTTACCGGCGAATGATGAGGATACCGTGGATAGAGAAGGTTAGAACTGAAGATGAGGTATTAGAAAGAACAGGAGAACAGAGGACTCTATGGAAGTCAATAAGAAATAGGCGAGATAGGTTGGTAGGACACATTCTCAGACGTGAAGGTCTAGTCAGAGACATATTAGAGTCAGAGACAGGAGTTAAGAGGAGTAGAGGTAGACCTAGATTAGATGACTGTTCGTAAATAGTTGAGGATATGGATTGTTCTAGTTTTAGTGAAATGCGAAGATTATCTCATGTTGGTTATATTAAGATTGGCAATGATTCGGTGGTTTAATTGTAATAGTAATGGAAAATAGTAAAACTCCAATTGTACTTTATTGGTCAGTAATAACAGAAACGTATTAACTCAAAGGGAGCTTCTTAGGAACTAAATTTTAAAATGTACAAAAGGTCTCTGCAGGTCTGCAGCCTCCTTAGGGCCATAAAACCCAGATGTGGCCTAAAAGTGACTTCGACAATACGAATACATATTTTTACAAAACTAAACTCATCGTTGATTTCCAACATCTCAGGACAGGAACGAGTGGAGGTGCATGTCCAACCCGTCTTAGGACTAAAGACCTTATGTTCTTATGATGATGATGATGATAATTATTATTTAAACTGACACACTAAAACGACAACAAACTCGGATATAACCATTGATTGCCTTTGTTGGTATTTATTGTCATACCACGCGAACTTTCATCAACAATGACATTTGGTTATTCCGTCCTGCCGATGACGCTAGAACCAAGTTCTACTGTAATTACATCATTAAAAGATTTTTCTCCATTTTCCGAGGAATATAATATGCAACGCGTACAGATACTTGAAACGGTGCAAATTGTCACGTCCCATTTGTGTACGTTGTACATAGGTATAAAAACAAGCTGGCGGTTAGTTAATAAAAATTCAAAGCTTTATTTTACGGAAGTCAAACCAACCTCAGCTGTTTACCATTGTGATATCGTTCAACCGAGATCTTTCCGTTTCAATTATTTAATGCCGTTAGGTGCGGTCAAGACACGAGATCTGAATACATACGTAGTAGGTACGTATACTCGTACAAATATACGTAGGCATCAAGGATGAAAGGATATAGATGGACGAACGGACGAATGGACAGACAGATGGATTGCAGCTTCGGATAGAATTACGGGAGGAATGCTACTCTAATTAAAAATGAAAGAACTGACACGTCGATACGTGTGAAACACAGTCACATTAGATTTGCTACGGAATAACTAAGAAAATGTCTAATAACGGAGAATGTTTCGCAATTAACTGCAAAATAAACCCAGAAAAACCAAAGATGTAGGTACATAAGTAGGTATAATATTTACTTGGTATCCAAGCTACCTACTTGATGTTACTGAGGATAAAAAAAGATAATAAAAAATACTATTGTTAGGTACTCGGAGTTTACTACTAACAATAAGTGCCATTACTAATTTCAACTTAAAATTAGCAAAAAACGATAAAAAGAATTAGTCAAATGTAAGTTTGTATCGTTCGTAAAGGATCCAATACGATATCTAGGTATTTGGTAGAAATAAAGTTTCGAAAAATAAAATTTTTTGAAGATTTGAAGTTCAAAATTTTTTCATATTTTCTATATTTGTCTTGGAACTGAAATTGTCAAGTAATTTTTTGTCCGATAGACTCAGAAAAGTTTTAAAATTTGTTATTTTTTGATGTTTAGCTAAGTTGATATCACAAGATCTTCCTTTAGTCTAAAGAAGGTCCTAAATTCTAGATCAACTAGAAGCACCTTATATGCTTTGGTCATACATGATACTTTTGACGAACAGTCTACTCTAAAGTGTGTAATTTTCAAACTTTTTATTGACCTTTCACCATAAGATTTAAGACAAATTCTCATGATTCTACGTTTTTTTATGTGTTTTGATAATAATCAGTTAGGAGATCGATGAATGAACAACAAATATCCATCATATAAGGGCTCAGTTTTTAATTTCGAAACCTAGAACTCTAAAAATAGGGTTCTCACTTTAAATTTTTGAAGTTAACTTACTAAATGAAAATCATAAAACCTGAGGCTTTTACATAAGAAGTAAACCGAAAAATGACAAACGGTGACTAGCACCTCCACCAAAAATTACAGGAATAACGACGATTTCAAAAATATTTTAACCATTTTTTATCTGTACAGAATGCTTACGAAATAATACCAGGATGAACTAATGATGGAAATGTACCTAACAGGCTATCCGAAACACAAAAATATCGAACTCGTACTGGTTTAAGAATGTTCCGTTTTAAAATCTCGTAAGCGAATTTAATTGTTCATTCATTTCAACTAAGTACATTCCGAAATATCTGCTGANTTGTGAGCAATGCATACTAAAAAAAGTCAAACGATAGATTAAGAAATGGTAAATATCCATAATTTGGTATATTTTTACCTACAAGTCGAGAAATTAAAAGCGAGAAAATTGAAAATACCAAGACTAGACTGGTTGGACATGCACCTCCACTCTCTCTTATCCTGAGATAATCTTCACATTTCCCTAAAACTAGAACAACCCATATAGTTAACTATTTGCGAACAGTAATCTAATCTAGGTCTACCTCTACCCCTCCTAACTTCCGTTTCTAACCTATCTGGACTATTTTTTTCTGTTCTCCTCTTCTTTCTAATACCCCTTCATTTATAACCTTCTCTATCCACGGTATCCTTATCATTTGCCTGTAACACCACATTTCGAACGCTTCTTACATTTTCTTTTCCGCCACGCCAACCGTTAATGTTTCGAACCCGTACAGCACCGCGTTCGAAACATACACCTTTAACATTATTTTTAATTAATTATTAATTAACCGTTCGCGAGCATAGAAGTTACTTTATTTTATTAAATGCGCTATCCCCTGCTTTATATTCCTACTGTTCCTTCCGTCTTGACTTATCTGACTTCCTAGATACCTAAAATTAGCCACTTCTTCTAATTGTTCGTCACCAATATTTATATTCACTCTTTCCCTACTTTTTCTTCCCTTGCATACCAGTATTTTTGTTTTACTTTTATTTATTTGCATACAATATTGTTTTGTTATTAACGCTTCCATTTTATTTATAGCTATCTCAAACTCCTCCTTGCTAGATGCTAATACTGATATACTTTTACCCCTGTATATCTATTCCTACAGTTGTAATGTCTTTAATGATGTTGATCGCGTCTTCGATGTATAGATTTAAAAGTAGCGGTGAATAAAAGAGAAGTTCATTAATAAACTTTGGGATCAAAGATGCGGAGAAGTTGGCACCACTGAAGGGAATAGTGCTCCACTTATTAAAGAAGTTTTGTAGGGCGAATAGAGACAAAAAAAAAGTATCGCGCCGAATACGAAATGGAATGAATCCAATAAAAATAAAGATTCAAAAAGTTATAATTAAATCATTTATGTTCAAACGTTTCTTTTAAAAATACCACAAGTACTGCTCTCTTTCTTGATTTGTAAACAAAAATCTAAATATATTTCCACGAAATGCGAAACCACTACGGCAGGTAGCGTAAGTTATTATTATTAATTCTTCTTATAAAAAAACAAGTTATTATTTTAATGAATTAAAATCATTATGCTTAGATACGTCTCATAATATAAATAGTAAAGTGAATGAAATCAAACTGAAATTCTTTTGCAATATACTCAACACACTTTTGTCATTTGTGAATTAACATTCGTATCCTTTTGCAAATTGGAGCATTCTAAATCAAAACGCTTTACTTACGATTGATATAAAATTATGTGACGTTTTTAGCTAGGTAAGGATACCAAAATAGTTATTATTTTATTCGAATATCTAGGAAGTCAGATAAGTCAGGACCGAAGGAGTAGTAGGGATATAATGCAGGGTCGAGTCGCCTTCTATAAGTCACTTCTATGCTCGCGAACGGTTAATTTAGAAATTCGAAAGATTTAAAGGTGTATGTTTGGAACGTGGTGCTGTATGGATGCGGAACATGAAGGGTAGGCGCGGCGGAAAAGAAAAGGTTAGAAGCGTTCGAAGTGTGGTGTTATAGGCAAATGATGCGGATACCGTGGATAGAGAAGGTTAGAAATGAAGAGGTATTAGAAAGAGTAAGAGAACAGAGGACTCTATGGAAGTCAATAAGAAATAGGCGAGATAGGTTAGNTTCGACGGATCGTTAACCTTGTAGGTCGGTTGGTCGTGATTGCTGTTGTCACCTCTCGTAGTTTAGTGGTAGAACATTGGTGCGTAAAGCCAAAGGTCCGGGGTTCGATTCCCGGTGGGGGTATGACAACAACAACAATTTTTCCCTCATTAATTTGAAATAGTTTGTAGTGGGTAAACAAAATATCGAAAAAATGATTTCAAATTAATATTGCATATTAATCCACTATTAAATAACTAACAATGTCATAGGATTTCATATATATATTAAAGTTATTGTTTATATTCATTTCGAAACACACAGTAAACACACCGATCATTATTAAACATTTTATTATTATCTAATTGTGTACCTTTGGGGGTTGGACAGAAGACAAAACGTCTGTGATGTAGTTGACGTAATCCTCCTCGTCCTGAACACTGCTGCTCTCTTCGCCATCCTCCGAAGTGCCGACACTGTTCATCCCTTTTTCTTTCGCTGCACCCCTCTGTAACCCGTTAATGAGTTCCTTCCTAGGCGACAGCAAGTGCGTGGTGGCATTATTGTTATTGTTATTATTGTTTGTTCCAGTCGACGTTGCGTCTAGTCCGGTTTTTATCAGATGCTGCTTATCGTGGAGTTTCTTTTTGAGTTTGTTGTACTGACGCTGCGTTCGCTCGTCCTTGTAATAGCTGCCGTTACCCCCGTGCCCAGGCTGGGGCGGGGGCGGCGGCGAATGGCTGGGATGCGACGAGGGTGGACCATGAGCTCCCGGCGGAATGTTCGAATGGAAATGTGGCGGTGGAAAGCCGGGCGGCAAGCTCTGGGGGTAGAACGGTTGAGGAGACTGGTTACTGCCATTTGCCGGTCCAGCACCCTGCAAATAAATGTTCAAATAAATTTATGCTTATGCACGATAACTACGTTAGTTTCTTGAAAGGTCTCGAAAGTTTATTCCGAACCGACTCAATTGCATTCGCGTACACTGGATTAAACCGCTACAAATTATAACAACAGTCATTATTACGAAAAACTTTTTAATCACTATCTGACGCATCTTTACTTTTAATCTTAAATCGGCAAAAAATTGGTCAATTTCTTTCTCATTTTCCACTCGGTTAATCTCCATCCAATTGTAACATTAATTAAAGTATTATAAACTTATATATACCGAAGGAGCAACGACATACAGGTAAGCCAAAACTTTTCCCGAACATTAAAATTACACATTTTCATAATTTGATCCTGATCTTGATGTGGAAATTGCAATATAAAGAAAAATGATCCCTAAAATTGCGTTATCAAACGATTTAATAAAATACAACGGCAATAAATTTATTTTTTTGTCTAATAATAAAATATAAGTACCCGAATACTATATTTATTTATAATAAATTATCATAATCCAAGTCTGTATCTACTATGTATCAAAATAATTATTAATGGTGAGGATTTACTGATAAAAGTTCTTGTCTGTAGGATTTACATTTCAACACATTTTTGTTAGCTTGTACTAATAAAAAAGAAAATGCTTTCGCCAGATAAATGATTACATATGTTTCGTTTGTAAAACGATACTGCCAAGATTATAAATGGCACGTTTAATAACAAAACTTACCTTATCAGTATCAGTTTCTCTATTTTCATTTTTAGTGCCTTTCATTTCAATATTAAATAATAACAACGACCCGCAGAAAATTTAAAATGCATTTCCAACACAAACATGTACCATATTGGTACTAGAAGTTACAGGAAAGTATGTTCTAATAAATCAGCAGCAATATTGTTACCGACTAACTGCACTTTCACGTGACCTACTGATAGACTCTAGCAAATACCTTTTATATCCGTATATAATATATGTGTATATACATATATTCGATGAAGTAAGAATGCGATAAGAGTTCACATTTACTGTGGGTTTCTATGTGAGCATGTTTATCAATGACGTCACAAACATGTATATATGTATGTAGCTTTTGTTTTTGCGTATTCAATACAACAATACGCAATAAATGATAAGGATAAGTGTGATTGTTACCGGAACTGTATAATTGANGAAGGGTCAGAAAAATGAGCGAAAACGTTATTATTAATCATTTGGGTCACTATAGCCGGATATGATTTCTTAAGGTATGTCATTTTAAACGGAGTCGTTATATCCAAACTTTCCTATAGAGAATTTAATATGATAACCAAACATAACACTGCAATTGCAGTGTTATGTTTGGTTATCATATTAAATTCTCTATAGGAAAGTTTGGATATAACGACTCCGTTTAAAATGACATACCTTAAGAAATCATATCCGGCTATAGTGACCCAAATGATTAATAATAACGTTTTCGCTCATTTTTCTGACCCTTCTTATGTATATTGATATCACAATTCATCGTTCTTTTTCTATTTCTGTTAATAAATACCTATACACAATTTGTAGTTTTTCTCTCTATTAAACTAAATAACTAACCAAAATAGAAAGTTGTTTATTTTCTAAGACTGTACAATGTATAACGCCCGCTTAGTATGACGTGTTTGTCATTTCCCTTCGATGTCATTATAAGCGAATTCTACTGTATGAATTATACCGTTGCTAGGTGTTTTTTACGTATAAAACTCTTGGTCAGCATCTTCACGAGGTCCTATCACATCATTCTCAAACAAATGCCTGAATTACACAGTGGGCGTCTATGTTTAATATAGAAAATATATTAAAAACTACTTTTAATTTATCAGAAGAGGAAGGAAGAGAACAGGTAACTTTTCGTTTTATGATGTACTCATCTGAGCGTAATCATTAACTACCTACATAATATCCTTAAAAATTTTCAAACGAAAAAATGTTATCGTCTCTACCTTCAACGTCACATTGATTGTAGAGGAAACAAGATGTCCCACATTATATTGTATGGGATTACGATACGAAATAAGCTTGAAAATTACTTTGGGTTGTAGGTTCAAACAACACAACATAACACACCATCCGCGTACATATATATATATATATGGGTGTCTCTAATAAATGATAAAAGGTTCATTCATAGCATTATGCAAACCGGAAGGAGTCGGATTCATGTTTGGACCGGATATTCTTATAATAACTGTTTTCTTCCACGGACGTCTTTGTTGTTATTAGTGTTATTATGTGTGAAGGAAGATAAAGAACAAGCGAGAAACGAGAGGGTGGCGTGAAGGAAGATCGCTTCTTCCTCTATTTGTATTTGTCCCGTTTCCCCTTTTGCTAATCGTAATCATGCGGCTTATCGTATTGTTTACAGTGCAGGAAGCTGTTTTTGAAGACCGGGCCATACAAAAACGAGCTTGCTACAGACAAAAACATTATTATTATTATAAGGGGGAACGAAAATAAATAAAAAAAAATCGATTGTCTGTAAAGTCGGTTTATTGACGATAGTTGAACGTGACAACGTCATAAGAAAATACTGATGGAATGGTTTCATTTTTCAAAAGAAAATTTTAATTTTATTTGTTTGATAGATATTTTGTATGGACATAGAGAAGGAGGTAAATGGAAATGTATTATTGTATAGCAGCTGTCCACGCGGACGCATCGCTCACTCAAGTAGGAGAAAGACAGATGTCGAACGCGGAGGCCGATTGTGCCTCTTTGTCGCTCGTTCCGCGCTCTCGCTTGCACTTCAAGCCTTAAATGGAACGCCTCAGAGCGGGGTAACGCCGCATGAGTCATGTGTGCAGCCGGCTCTACCGAATTATAAGACGTTGTCACGTCAAAAATTACACTGAGTAGCATGTATCTTCCCTATGATTATATGGAAAACTGCGTTCTCCGAAAATACACCGATCAAACGTTGTTTAAACAAAACAAAAGTTTTTACAAATTTGAGGAGTTTCAATCTTATGACCCGTTTTCGTAAAGATGAGTTTTCAATTAATATAAACAATTAGCAATGAGGAATTTTTATCTTGAAGTTCAAGACATATTTCGAACACCATAAACATAATTGCTAATAGTAACTATTTAACGTTTTTTAGCTTTGTAAATATAAAACAAATTAGTTTTTGAAATATTTTCCAGAATCATTTGGATAAATTTTTAAACGACAATTAGAAAGCAATTAGGCGGATATTAACCATTATTTAAATTCTGAATAATGCCAAGTCTGATAGGCCCGAATCAGATAAAGTACTTTGTTCGGGAATTAACAAGCTATTATCGGCGCATTACATTCCAACAATACATACATACATACATAAATATCATTTCACCCACACGCCTTACCATAATGAATTATTCATTGATCCGTGAACGACAACGTTCTTATCTGCTGCTATGTGTATAGGCATATAAAACGACTGCCATATTTATGTATAAGACGCCAACCAACAAGTTTGCCGAATGACATGGTATAATAACCTTATCGTGACGCAGGTCGTGTCCAAAATCTTCAATTACGGTTACGTAATTGTTACGGGCGCAACGAAAATCCATTGTTCTCGAAAATACAATGGAAGTGGCGCTCGACAACACCTAGGACTTGGTGTTTCATTAATGTGACGATACTGTAACGCACAATCGAGATTGATCTAAACTTGTCTACAACCCTTCTGACCCAAATTTGAAACTTATTGTAATGTACTGGTAACTGAAAAGAATTCTGTAAATAAAATGATATGAATATCTATCACGTTATTTTCGTTATAAAAACGATAACTGACAATACTACAATGAAATTTCTGGAATTGCCCAGAAGTTTGTTACTCTGTCTTATCTGTAGAAATTGAAAAATTGAAGGTAAATGTCTAGATGATGGCCCCTTTGGGGTGGGGGTGGGTGGGATCGAAAGAGGAGGTCTCCCCCACCACTGTACCGTAAAAAGTTCCTGGCGGTCTCACCCTCATAAAAAGTTAGGGGGTTGAAAGTTGATTATTTTGACAGTTTTCATACACTATAATTCAAATAAAATTCAATAAAAAAATTATTTTCAAGCGGGTGGAGGTGGGGGATCGAAAGAGGGTGGTCACTTGAACAAAACCCGATAACCTAACCTAACCTACCCTATTGATAAAGATATTTAAATAATGTTTTATATAACTTTCTCAATATTTTTATGTATTTTTCATTAGTTTTACCTTTGAATATTGTTTAAGAGTGACTATATAAATATTTACATGCCTAGAAATGTATAAAAATTGGCATATTTATTAACTTTAAACCCCCATAACTTTTTATGGGAGTGAGACCGCCACGAACTTTTTATGGTACAGTAGTGGGGGAGACCTCTTCTTTCGATCCCCCTTGCCTTCATCTAGACCTTTACCAAATTGAATTAATTAAAACACTTTTAAAAATTTTATTACCAAATTGCTATTCGCCTAGGTTTCCCTAGATTTTCCTAGTTTTAGGCGGCGTCCGAGGAGCGTCCATAGACGATATCGTGACGTCCTCGCGCCTTAAGCGGCTCTGCGCCCTCGCAAAAAAATCACAATTCTAAAAACAGTCGTCTGGCAGGAATAATCGTTTTAGGCTTCTTAGCCAAAAAACTCGTATCCACGAATCCACACCAAAAAAAGGTATATAGGATTCCCATGTAGAGTAGTCAGTGCGAAGACTGATTACAAACGCATCTTTACCTATCCTGAGACATTTACCGAAAACTACTTTTAAGAACATTCGACAGGCGACTAGTAAAATGTAATGTAATTTTAAAATACGAATTGAAACAATCGGTGGAATTTTAACGAAGACATGATTATCCATTTAATAGTTTAAATAAATTTAGGTCACAACCTCTGGTTGGTACGAACCGCTACATGACCGGTCTAATAAAAATAAATGATTCATACGTAATATATATATATATAACGACTGTCGAAAACCAGAATAAATCAAATCAA